ATCAAGTAATCAAACATTAAGTTTCAATTTAAATTTTAAAGCCTTTTCTCATAATATCGTAATTTTTCAGATTGGTATAACAATGCATTTTTTCGACATTTTTCTATTGGCCATCAGTGCCGTTTTCGTGGCGCAAGCATGCCCTTCATCACCAGGACGCTCCGAGCCAGGACCACCGGGACCGGATGGGAGTGATGGAGAAGGCGGACTACCAGGACCCCCAGGAGACCCTGGACCTCGAGGAGCAAAAGGACCGGCTGGAGATCGAGGACTCCCAGGTTCACCAGGACTTCCCGGTCCACCGGGACTACGAGGACCACAAGGTCCCGATGGACCCCCAGGCGCTCAGGGACCAATGGGTGGGGGAGGATAGTAAGGAAATTATCGTAAATAACCTAATAAAATAACCTTCCTATTTATGATATCCGTATTCATGTTTTGTTTTTGTTTGCATCCACTTGTCGTTGATGTATCCTTTCCATCCTCACAAAATTCGTAATCTCAAATCGCCATCCGTGCTTTCATACCTTACAAACTTCAGAATATCAAATTTATACCAACAACGATTCACCTATTAAACTATTAAATCATCCATAAAACAACTTATTACTAATTACTGTTAATAATTAATAGTCGAACAAATTACAATTAATAATCGATAATGATCGATAATTAATAATCGAATACTTCACAAATTACATTTTGTATATACGAACAAGTTGCAATTTAATCATACAACAAAACTAAGCCAAACAATGAGCCCATCTAAAATTCCATATCACAAATTAGATCAAATAAACTAATTAATATTCAGTGAAAAATGCTCGACGTCATTATTTCATTGCTTTTCGGTGACATTCCGGAATGTTCCGAATGCAATGGCTGTTGCCGATTTTCCATTAATGTTTCCCAAATTGTTTTTTATTATCTCTCGGGATTGTGTCAAGAATCGCATGTTTACTGCGTCACATTGATTTATAGCTTTTGCAGAATTCTGTTTAAGCACTTTGCCGGAAGCAAAAAACTATATGAAATCGTTAATTATATTAATGGCTTTTATTCA